GTTCTTGCATGAGGCCCATTGAGAGCAGGTGGTTTACTTTCAGTTTAGGTAGAAACAAACAACCAAGTTTAATGACGTCAGAGTTCTGTTGACGTGACAAATTCTCCCCACAATTTATTGTTCTACAACCCCAATTTCAATGAAGTTGAGACATTGTGTAAATTATAAATAAAAACAGTCTGAGACAGTTTCAACACAGATACCGAAAGCCTTTATATCAATGTTTTCAGCTGTGTTTGGAGTTCGTCTTTCACAGAATTAATTATTTTTTGCTGTGACTTCCACATCTATCACTGAATTTATCGCGCGATCTGCTTCCTGGACGTCTGTCGGACCGGAGCAGAGCGTAGCGGAGGTGATGTAAACTGGACTTGAAACGCACAGCTGCGACCTGCGCAGCAGAGCGGAGCGCAGCGGAGACGCATGCAGTATAAATCTGGGGTCAGCCTGACAAATATCCAGTCAGACACAGAKACAATCACACAATCCCAGACTCAGCAGCTCACAGATTACTGAAGAGCACAAGGACACCAGCTGGAAGGGCAGCTTGTTCCTGAGCTGAACCTGTTGAAGAATGTGTTCAGCTCATTTGCTCTGTCCAGACTTCCATCCATCCAATTCTCCTTCTGCTTGAAACCTGAGATCTTCTTCATCCCTCACCACACATCTCTGATATTGTTCCTTTTCAGTTTACTCTCCAGCTTTGTTCTATAAACCTTCTTGCTTTCTTTGATCTTGACTTTGAGCTGCTTCTGTATACTCCTCAATAACTCCCTGTCTCTTCCCCTAAAGGCTCTTTTCTCTTGTTTAACATTTCCTTATCTCACTGGTGATCCAGAGTATGTTAMTAGGGAAGCATCTCACTGTTCTGCTGTGGATGGTGTTTTCCTCACAGAAGTTTATATAGTCAGTCATCCACTCAATCATGGCATTTATGTCATCTCCAAATTATGATACACACAATCAGCTTCATGAAAATGGGTCTGAGTTTTGAGTGGTTGAAATGGTCTTTTCCCCAGTCAGAAGGTTGCAGGTTTAAATCTTAACTGGGGTCTTTCTGTGTAGTGTTTGCATGAGCTTAACCTCTTTGAACTAACCCTTCACCCGTTTTAGCTGCAGCTCAGCCCATACTCCTCTGTGAAACATTTCCTGGATTCTCCTGTCACATCTCCGACACATTCAGACTAGAGGTGTCCCGATACCGATACCAGTATCGGTATCGGG